GAGACCACTATTGATTATTCATAACACTTACATAGACAAAAAAAGTAAAGGGATATAAACAAATATAAGAGAAAGAAAGGGAGAAGAAAAATTCCTCTAACTTAAAGGAAGAAAAAGTGTTCATATAAAAGCTTGCTCAAAATATTTCTCTGATCACTTAAAAGCAAATAAATTTTTCTTAATGAACTAACACTTACATAAATTTCTTCAGAGCTCTTGTTGAGGAAGAAACAGTCGGAAGATCCGTAGTTTGTATTTAAGTGAGTTCGTAAGCCGACGACGGGAATTTTTAAGTGCAAGGAAGCAAATCTCGATTAATTTTTAGTAGAGGGCCGACATTCTGTTTTTAGAGCCCAGCATCTAGATTTCTTTCTTGAAACTGGTTCCGGAGAAGACTGGTGTTACTGTCGCCGACCTGATGTTATCACAGACGATGTCAAGTAGTCACCAAAGAGGCGTATATTCTCCGTATTTATCGGGATTTGAAGGCCTAGAAATTCGAGAACTTTTCCCTCCAAAATTGCTTATACACTTTCTCGGTCCTCTTATTCGTTAGAAAATATATTCTTATCTCTGATAAGAATCAAAATTTTGGGAGCTTTTTTTTTTTTTTTTTTTTTGGAAGCAAGGCACAGACAAGTTGTGAGCATTATGGCACCAAGGTCAGGACAAGGGTGGTCAAATTTCTTTTTACATTTTCCAGCTCTCTCGGTCGTCAGAAAATACATTCTTTATCTCTGATAAGGATCAAGGCTTTGGGAGCCGAATTTGAAAGCAGGGAAAGTTGGGGCAAAGTTCAGAAAAGAGGTTAGAACGTGAACTTGTAAAATATTGTAGTAGTGGTTCTCAAATTAAATTCTAATAATCGGTAACAATAACAAATTAGATTTCAGTGTTTATCGTAAATCCGCTAACAAAAACGATCTAATTAATTTATATTCCCACCGTGATAATATTAGAAAATTTCACTGCTTACATATCGTGAGGTTATTGGTTCATGAAACGCAAAGGCCTAGCTATGAGAACCAAAACGAACATTGCTCACATAATATTTAGAACAGTATTTTTTTAATCATTCCCCCCTAAGCAAAGCTAAGACGCAAGGAATTACTGGAGGTGAGAAAATATGAAAAAAGGAAGCATTATTAAGAAGAGAGAACAAAAAAAGAACATGAATTAAGAAGACAGAAGATAACGATTGACGTTGCATTAAAAGCTGACAAGGAAACAAAAAGCCAGAAGTGAGATAGAAGAAGCAGTTAGCATAGAAATTATGGTTGCGTCTAGATATTTCATCTGTAAAACGATAAGACCTTGTCGCAAATCCAGTAGTATGTTTGAATTCATAAAATCTAGGTATCAAAGACGAAATCTCAACAGGACAGTTACCATTAAAATATTTAAACAAAAAGTACAGGGAAGCTGCTTTATGAAGCTGGGAAAGTGACTGAAGCTGAGATGCAGGTCACGGTTAATAACATTGCAGATTATTCTTTGCATTTGTCCGGTTCCTTGTACCACGGTGATAGTCCAATGTAGAACCAATAAAGAAGAACTCGAATACGGATATGGAATAACACAGATATATTACAAACAAGAATATATACAGAGAAGTAGAAAGGTGTTACTACGAACAATCAGGTTTAGTAGTAATTGTCTGAACGTGACTCTGTTTCGGACAGCCTCTGACTCGACTGACTGACTCGCTCTGACTGACTGACAGACTCCTGACGGACTTCACTCCAGACTTCAGACTGAACTCTAGACTTCAGACGGAACAGTATTGTCACCCCACCCACAAAGGCATCATGTGGCACAAGGCCGGTTTAACGTGGGATCTCCGAGCTCGTGGGCTCGGCCAAAAATATGCCCTTTGAACCCGTATAAACGGGTTCAGGGTTGGTTTACCTCCCTGAAAGAGACTCCGCCCTTCGGCGTAGCCTCGTTCGGGTTCCTCCCCGCCCGAAGGCAGAGCGTTCAACCGATCAGCCGATCAGCCGGTCGCCCGACTTCAGGCTGAACTCCCTGCTTCCTCTTGAGGCGCAGCATTTATTACGTATGGAATAGTCCATTATGTTATTATGGGTAAGGTCCCATAACAGCATTTAATAAGGAATCTCTAAATACGTAGTAGGAAAACCCAGAACGGATGTGATAACAATGCATGGACGAATGGTAAACTTATTTTTGTGATATCAACGAACACTCGTTGCCACTTTTGTAATGCTCGGTGTAGTAGAGACTTTGTAATCGCAGATACAACTGTAGTAACACCGTTGAACAATACTGCTGACAGACGCCTTTGAATATCACTTGCACTAATAGTACTTGCTCAATAATATTCGCTCGAAAAGTAACCACTGAATAGTCATCTGTATAGTGATTAGTAAAGAGAAATAGTGTAGAAATAACGAATAATATAGAGAATAGCTAACCGTATAGTAATAGAGGATAGAATAGAAATGATGATCGTTTAGACGTCAAGCTACTTCCTACTTATGCATTTCTCCTATGGTCACGTTATCCACTTAATTCAATAACGAGATCGCCTAGCAACTGATTCAATGTAATTTTTCCACATCATGTTAGCGGAAAATGTGAGAACAAGTAGGCGCAACGAGTCAGTTTCCTGGAGGTTAGCATCAGCCACGATGATGGAAGTTTTCTCTTCAAAATAAAGGCGTGTCTTACAAATATATATATATACTTATATTCCGAAAAATACGGCAATCATTTTTTAGTAAGGATAGATCGTTAATCATTACTCTGGGGTTAATTTTAGGCTTTCACAGATCATACTGGTTCTTAACCTTTATGAAGTCACGAACACCTTTAGTCCCCGACTCTTTGAGTCGCGGACCCCTATAAGAAGTAAGCCCTTCATAGACAAACAGACAGACAAGCAGATACAGTCTGATCGTTTTTTCACAACACCTGTACGTCCATTTCTCCCTCATGCATACTGCACATACATCACTTTTCAGGCAACCACGCTAAAAAGAAATTAATGAAGCCACTATAAACCGTAGAAAATGAGAATTATCACTTGCTCATATGGATTGACAAAAGATGGTGGTCGTGCAGTGAAAGATAACACACGTTTAAATGGTAAACATGGAGTCAAGTCAAGAGATGCCTAGAGGTCGGTACTGCAAGTAGTGGCTTGGTGCGTTTTCTTTCAAGCAATGACAGGATGTATTTTCTTTTATTTCTTTCAATGGGAAATTTGATTGGGACAAAGGCTTTATAGCGAATATAAATGTTAATTTTTATCTGATCCTCACGAACCCCATGAAAATCATCTATGAACACTCTAATAGTACATGGCCTCCGAGTTAAGATAACCCGAATTAGGGAATAGATAAAACGATTCTGTTTATTGCTGTGTTTACCAAAACAATGTGTTTGAAAAAAAAAATTGCTGTGTTAATTTCTCGCCATGAATGATACAACAGATCCCGTGAGAAGATGACGACCAACATTTTCTATTTTGGTTGGTGTGAACAAAAAAAAAAAAAATGTGAACGTTCATAATTTAGAGCTTAAGTCATCCTTGACTATCTGATGTGTTCGCGGTACTCCTTTAAATAAAATCTCCCAGAACATTTACAAAAGTCTCGTTTACCAAACATCAACATTTGGTCCCGAAAGATCTTATTCAATTATTTCTGAGGGTGAGTCTTTTTAAGTATCGAATAACGACGTCTTTTGCTTATCAAAAATTGCTGTCAGGGTGTTGTTATCAGTAAATCTGCATTAAGAGTTACGAGCATTTCGTAAACTTGATAAGCTACGATTAAACTCAGCGTATATCGTGTGGGAAGGATATCAAAATAATCCAGAATCTATACTGGCAACAGACCGCCTACATACCGATAGCAAATGAGTTCAGTAAATATACAAAAATAAAAATGGTTTTAAAGACAAAGATGCGTCTTCTCGCTGGACCTTTTCAATCTATACAGCGATGCGATTCTGAAGGAATTAGAAGTCCTGGTAGGAATCATTATTGGCCGCCATAATTTTAACAACGTAAGATATACAGATTACACAGTGTTGGCAACAGATTCAGAAAGGAAACAGCAAGGCCTCCCATAGAAGTTAGTGAAGGAAAGCGAGAAGAAAGGACTAAACACCAATTGCAAGAAGATAGAATGCATGGCTGTTAGCAAAAGAAACAGCCCAACATACAGATTGGAGACACTGAAATCAAGCAGGTAGAACGATTTAGATATCTGAGAAGTGTTTTAATGGAGGAAGCAAAGTGCGACATCGAAATCCGAAGGCGCATTGGAATAGCGAAAGATGCCTTCCAAAAGCTAAGAAAAGTATTGAGAAATAGGAAAATATCATTAAAAACAATGAAAAGAGTACTGTAATATTATGTAATATCAACCCTTCAATATGTCAGCGAAAGTTAAAGGATCTTCTAACAAATGAATAAGAGACTTGAAGCAACAAAAATTTAGTTCTACAGAAGGATGCTGAGAATCCAATGGGCCGAACATATAAGCAATGGCGAAGTTCTAGAGACAATGGCAACAAGAAGGACACTTATATTTATGATCTGGAAGAGACAGTTGAGATACATAATGAGAAAAGAGGGCTTAGAAAATTTGATACTCACAGGGGAGATTGAAGATAAGGGAGACAGAGAAAAATAGCGCATAACTTACCTCGAGAGCTTGAGTAAATGGATGTCGGGTCAGAGTTTGGGCCCAATGGCAAAAAGGCAAAATTTATTAGGGGCTACACACAACAGGAAATTGTGCAGAGCCATCATTATCAACGTCCTAAAGGAACACAGCACATTGAAAAAGATTAAGAGGAAGAAAGAGAGGAGGAGGAGGAGGAGGAGGCAGAAAGTATGTCATTGTGGTTTGTTATTGTTTTATTCCTAAGCTTTTGGATAATGATCGAGAATTAAACAGATATCGAAGAAATATTGACAAATGAAATATGTGGAAATTTTGACTTATTTCGCTTTAAAATGTATCAGCCTAAATATGAAAAAAAGAAAGAATGAAATGAGGAAAGTAAGAAGGAACAAAAGAAAGGAAGGAAGGAAGAAAGAAACAAAGAAGAAAAATACATAAAGAAAGAAAGAAAGAAAAAGAAAGAAAGAAAGAAGAAAAGGAAGGACGAAAAATGGAAGAAGGTGAAAAAGGAAGGACAGAAGAAAGAAAGAAAGAAAGAAAGAAAGAAAGAAAGAGGAAGGATGAAAAATGATAGAAAGAAAGAAAGAAAGAAAGAAAGAAAGAAGTAAAGGAAGGATGAAAAATGAAAGAAAGAAAGAAAGAAAGAAAGAAAGAAAAGAAAGAAAAAGGAAGGACGAAAAGAAAAGAAAGAAAGAAAGAAAGAAAGAAAGAAAGAAAGAAAGAAAGAAAAAAGGAAAGAACAAAAGGAAGGACGAAAAATGAAAGAAAGATGAAAAAGGAAGGACAGAAGAAAGAAAGAAAGAAAGAAAGAAAGAAAGAAAGGAAGAAAAATGAAAGAAAGAAAGAAAGAGGAAGGACGAAAGAAAGAAAGAAAGAAAGAAAGAAAGGATGAAAAAAGAAAGAAAGAAAGAAGAAAAGGAGGGATGAAAAATGAAAGAAAGAAAGAAGAAAAGGAAGGATGAAAAATGAAAGAAAGAAAGAAAGAAAGAAAAAAAAGAAAAGAAAAGAAAGGAAGAAAAAAGACGGGAAAAAAGAACGAAATAAAAAGTAAGAATTAATGAAAGAACGAAAGAAATAAGGAAAGAAAGGAAGAATTAATGAAAGCAACAAAAAATAATAAAAGAATGAAAGAAAATTAAAGAAAAAACAAATTAATGAAAGAAAAGAAGGACTAACGAAAGAAAGGAAATAATTAACCCAACAAAGAAAATTAACGAGAAAAATGAATTAATGAAAGAAAAAAAGAAAGAATTAATGAAAGAAAGAAATACCTATAGAAAAAAGGACAAAAGAAAGAGTTAATGAATGAAAAAACATGAAAGGAATAATAATAAGAGAGAAACATTAATTGAAAAAAATCTATGAATCGCCTCGTCGCGGCGCAATGGTTAGCAAGCTAATCTTTTAGACTAATTAAGACTAAATGGAGGAACATAAATACAATTGGAAGATTGTGTTGCGCCGAGTGAGAAAGCATTGCCTGTTTCGAAAATCACCTAAACTCGAAACAAGAACTTTTGGTACCGATGAAAAATACGGACTTATTTCCGAGGCAGGCCATAAGTTGCAGACCATTACTACTGTAGTGAGGTCAATTCTATTCCCTAAACTTTTTGCATTATGTTGACGAGATTTGTATCATTATACGTCAATGGTTTACGAGTTCGAATCACCTATAGATTAATGGTGATCTTATTTTATATGCTGTCTCCCTTCGGGACTTGTACGATCATGGCTCTTCACAACTTTCTATTATTTAATCATTTAGTATCACCCTCAGCCTCTGTTCTCTCATGTATTTATATAAGCTCCTTAAGTAGGTGAGTCGATATTTCTCTCTGCTCATCTAGATTTCAATGTCTTGCGAGTGTTAAATTCTCCAAGCCCTTTTTCCTCATTACGCTATCTTAGAAATTTCGGTCGTTTTCGGATTCTAAGTACAAGTATTCTTTTTGCTCCAACTTTCCTTAAAACTTCCTCTTGGCTAACATGCTTCGTCCATGTTATACTCAGCATCCTTCTGCAGATCAACATTTCTGTTACCTCAAGTCTCTCCTTCATCTATGGGGAAATTGTCCAGAATTCAGAGGACGATTGATATTACATAGCAGTTCAACGCAGTTTTCTTTGTTTCCAACGAAGTGTTCTTGTTTGTTAATATCTTGTTTAACTTTTGGAAGGCATCTTCCGACTCCCGAGTCACGTTTTCTGTCTTCTGTTAAGCAAAAATTTGCAGATAGTTACATTTCTGTGTGTGGCATCATTCGGTCTTGAGAAACCTTGGATATGCACCCAAAGAGTTATGCTCCAGTTCTTGATGGTGATGCAGCATCTGTTATGGCTGTACAGGCCCACACGGGAGTGACAGTCTCGATTGCAATGAATGCTCTCCCCCGATATCGTCTCGTTGTTTTCTTTTCTTCGAGCACGTTTCTTCCCGGCGGCAAACCGTCGTTTCTTCTCTCCTCAATCCAGCTCTCGGTGTAAATCGCGTCTCCAGCGACAGCGATCGTTGGCAATGTCTTCTCACCGCTGGATGTCCACGTCCGTCGCCCTCTTGTTCTTTTCTGTACTTAATTTTGATGTTTCCAACTCGTTGCTATTATCATAGACTGTTCTTCTTGTTAATGATTATATATTCTGCCTTTTTACAATTGATAATTAGTCTTTTCTTCCGCCTAATTCAAAACATTTTTCGAATTGCACCTATAAAAAAAGGATTTGTAAATAAAGCAATAACAGATGGTTATTAGGCTGCGTTAATTTTCAATATAAATATTAAATCATTGACGGTGGGTGTCATATTTATATGACCAGCTGAATTCTCAACTTTATTTTAGTCACTTGTAACTTTCATCTTTTAGTAACGTGCAATTCCTCCTTTAACGATAAATAACCTGAAAAATTAGTTACTACCAGTCTACACAATTAGTCCTTTTTCTAATGAAGGCCGTGGTTCCACTACAAACGTTTTGTTTTCTCAGGTTGACTATTATTGACACCCTTCTCCGTACACCATACGAGCAAGGATACCCGACAACTTCTCAAATGAATTGAGGTCAGGATAATCTATTGACCAACTCATGTCAATGTTGTGATACTGAAATCATTGTGTTGTTTGTTGTGTCCGATAGATTGGAGCAATGCCTTGATGTAACTTTCCAGATGACACCAGCAATTTATTCTGCATATGAAAGCAAGGCAAAGAATAAAATAAACTTATTTATTTCTTAATACCTTGTTTAGGTTTTGGAAGGCATCTTTCACAATTCCAGTTTATCCTCGGATTTCGGTGTCACCTTTTAAATCGTCTGTTAATACTCTTGCGAGATAGTGAAATAGCTGTACATACTGCATTTTCTTTTGAATTATACCGATAAAGAAAAAGTGTTAGTAAATAAAATCATAACAGATAGTTATTAGGCGCTATTATTTTGTAATATAAATATTAAAGCATTCACGGCGTGGGGTATATTTATAAGGCCAGCTGAACTTCCAACTTCATTTTGGTAATTTGTCACTTTCAACTTTATTTTTAGTAACTTGTAACTCATTTTTTTTAATTTTTTGTAACGTGTAACACCTTAATGATGAATAACCTGAAAAGGTCTTTCTGGGAATGTCTCTTTCATCCTACACAATTGATTATTGTGTAATGAGAGTCGTGCTTGTTGTACAAACTTTGTTTTCTATTCTTTGGTTGAATATTATTGCTGCCTACTTTCGTACACATTACAAGCGAATAATTTTATATTCGTATTTTGAAAGAAAACTTCGTTCAGCTGGAAAAAAAAACACGGGCTGGTATATCAGTTGGCCAGAGTGAAAATACGTATTAGTTCTGGCCAAGAACAATTTTAAATGCCTAATTTAAAATTTTTTAGAGCCATGATCGTCTACGTCCTGAGGGGGATACAACACATGAAGACGAAGAAACTCGAGTTCAGACCTGAATTAAATTGAGAATTTAAAAGGGGATAGCTGAAAACACGAATATTGATGAGACAGCTTTTTAGCGTTAAGGATCTCGGGACCTTAGGGAAAGAGAAGTGGGACAAAATCCTTGTTGAGACTTGTCGGAACCTGGGGAAGAAATATGAGAAAGTGTCACATCTGGCGACAGTTAATAAGGGATTTGCAATTGATTAAGGTATCAGTACAAATAATTTTCTACATGAATTTCGTGTTCAAATTAAAAAGAATACGTCACGGAATTCAGCCCCCCCCCCATATTCCTTGTGTATTTTTTCTTTCCCTACTTTTTTTATACATCATTTAGGGTAAGAAAAATTCCTTTGATGTAAATATTTCAAAAAGTCACAGATTTTGCAAAAGTAAGTATAATTTCGGACTTAAATACATACATACATACATACACACACATATATATATATGTGTGTATGTATGTGTGTATGTATGTGTATGTGTGTGCATGTATTGTTGTTCTAATGTATGCTAAATTTATGGGTAAAAGTGCTTTTATGAGAGAGCGTAAGGGTTAACAGTCTGTTACATGATTGAAGGCAATCACCAGACCATTGTCAGCATTTGATTTTGACCTCAGTGTCCAATTATATATACACACACACACACACACACACACACACACACACACACAAACACACAAACACACACAAATATATATATATATATTATTTATATTTTATTTTAATGTGCAGTACTTAGTGGAAAGCGATCAATATCAGTGATTGAGCTAGCATATTCCGTTGTAGGGATATGAATTTGTGACCCGATGTTTCACGCTTTTGCAATAATCAGACAAACAGGTTTTTTTTTTTTTTTTTTAAATTGGATCTATTCATGCTTGTTTGACTATGTTTGGTGGTGGGAGGGGGAATATACTTTTGTGTTTGTTTGACACTCTCATACACATAGACACACATACATACATACAGGTGTACGCATTTTAGTTCACACAAACACATCCATATAAACAATCCGAGGCTAGGCGCAGATATACATCCATGCGTTCGGGCATACGTACATACGCAGTTGTAATTCTGTTTCGGTGTCGGGACCGTAGCTTTTATTATATGTAGCGATGTTCCTTTCAGCAAGGAGCTGATGAGGGTGTTCTTGACGCTTTTCCGATCTGCCGCCTGCGCCATCAGACAAACTTAGACTTCATCACACACACACACACACACACACACACACACACACACACACACACACACATGTGAAGGCTCGCATAAATTTCTATTGGTCTGGGTCTTTCACCACTTTGGTTAAACTGGGTTCTGTTTACGGGCATGGTGATGATGATGATGTTTGCATTTTCAACGCTATATGCTTGTGTATTATTGACGATTGTGGTTATACTGATACTGATAATAACTGTAATATTAATTGTTATTAATATGTTAATAATACTTATTGATGTGTTAACGGTAAATTTAACCTTAATGATGATGGAAACAAAAGTAGAATAGAAAAAAGGGCAGGGCAATAATGACAATCGTAATTATGATAATAATTGTGGTAATCATGTTAAAGATAATAATAATAATAATAATAAAAACAATGAGAGTATTAAAAAGCAGGACTAATGGTAGTGGAGATGGTTATGAAGTGATTGTTCGTAAAGCGGTAGGGGCGATGGAAGTGTAGATAACGGTGCTCATAGTATTATCGGACTGTGTTAATTGTTATAGTGGTGGTTGTATCTGTGGTTGTGGTGGTAGTGTTGGTAACAGTGAAGGTAGTGTTAATGCCAGATGTTAGCGGTCAAGTGTTGCTGATTTTGGTGTTCTTGCATTTTGCTATTCTACCATTTTTTCCGAAGTTTCATTCCTGGCCGTGTTCAGTTTTGTTGTAGGTATTACCTTTTGGTATAAACTGTGATAGTAGATATTTATTTTTGTTTCAGCATTTTGAAATTATTTCCGATCTTTGGTTTAGTAATTCCTTTTGCTGAGTTAAGATTATTGCCACTTTTTCATGTAGACAAAGTAGACATCTCTATGATATGTTATTGTAGGCAGGTGCGGTTTTCATGATTTCAAGTATGATGTTTCTGTCTTTTCGTGGCCATATGTATGTAGATAGTGTGGTACTGTTGGAGAATTTTCTGTTGGAGAATGAGAGTTCGTGGGTGTATTTTCTTTGCTTGAATGTTCCTTCTGTGGTGCCAATGTAGTAGTGCTGTTTGCGTTTACCTTAGCTTTGTATACTATGTTCGTTTGTAGCAAATTTTCTTGTAGTGGGTATGTGTTTTTTTTATTTGGAGTTGCATTGGGAGTCTTTGATTACGCTATTGCAAATTATTATATTTTTGTGTTTTTTTATTATTTGTGTTATGTTTTTGGTGCAGCTGTAGCTACCATTTACGGTGTTTTTAAAAATATTTTTGCTAAGAGGTTTGTTACGGGGAAGAGTTTTTTATTAGATTTAGGAATGTCCTGCCGATGTTTGTTCTGACGCTTTTGTTGTATGGTGGGTTAAACCAAATTATATTTCCTTTTCTTTTTTCCGTTTTGGTTGTGGTGGCTTGTATTCTAGCTGATGCTTGTATCCGCTTTTCTTTCCTCGTTGTTATATGGCGTTTTTTTTTTTTTTTTTGTCGTGTGTGTGTGTGTGTGTGAGTGAGTGTGTGTTTGTAGATTGGGAGTTGAGTAGTGGGGTAACACTCCGGAAGTTAGTCACGAGAGTATTTCTATAGTGTAGTGACGCCGATTATCACTCCACCTGTGACCTTGTCTCAAACTATATATAGAGAGACATTGTGAATATAGGAAACAGCATCGAATGGTGACTGTCAATTTTACGCATCGATATAATCTTCAGTCTGTGCAGTGTTGATTCTTATGTCCGCACTGTCTGTAATCACTCTCCGATACCTAGCACACTTTGCGTATAGATATAACTAATTTTGAACACGCACACATCTCTCTCTCTCTCTCTCTCTCTCTCTCTCTATATATATATATATATATATATATATATATATATATATATATATATATATATATTGTTATTTTTAGTCGATATTCGTATTTGAGTAGGTGCTCCATTTATTTATTAAGTAGTATATTTATTTTTGTCTGCCGGTCTGAATGTTAGAGAAATCTTATTGAAGAACAGGCATTGCGCAATTTTTTCTTTTTCTAATTCTTTGTGCTATGCGTCGGGATATCTCAATTTTTATTTAATTTACTTTTATAACCATTCAAATTTTTGTTCTCTCCGCTGAAGCCAGGGATTGAACTCACAATTCTTTGGGTCAAGTCTCATTTCGAACCAACCAACCAAACTAATCAACCAACGCATCCACTTTTCCAGTCAGAATAATGCAAATATTAGTTACAATACCTCATCTTTATATATATATATATATATATATATATATATATATATATATATATATATAGATAGATAGATAGATAGATAGATAGATAGATATAGTATTGCTGCCATATATGGTCTGGAGCCCCTTCTGTTTGCCTCGAGGTTCTTGATAAACTCCAGAGGCGGATATGCAAAATAATTGGCCCTGTTCTGGCATCTCGTCTACAGTCACTTTCTCACAGACGCGCCGTCGCCTCTCTCTGTTTTACAAATACTTTCATCGCAATTGCTCCGAGGAGCTGCATTCGCTGGTTCCCAGACGTCATGAGTTCAAGCGCCCTACGAGGCTGGCATCCCGCTCTCACCCCTTCACTGTCGAAACTCCTAAATGTAGCTGTCTCTTCTACTCCAATAGCTTTATGTCTCGCACCTCTCGCCTGAGGAACTTCCTTCCCTATTCCAGTTTCCCTGTGAGCTATAATCTCCAACTATTCAAATGTAATGTAAATCGACATCTCCAGTTGCCTTGATCTATCCACTATCCTTCTCCTCATCCTTTCTTCTATCACTCCTATCTGATTTTGCTCCAAATTTTCTGTAACCCCTTGCGTCCTAATGGATTCCCGCCTTGCTTGGGGTGAAACGCTTAAAAAATATATATATGTGTGTGTGTGTAGTCGTGAGATTCAATTGTTTTAGGGCTTTCCTTTTATATCATAATTATGTTGTCTATGGTAATAAGAACCGATTTCCTCTCTCTCTCTCTCTCTCTCTCTC